TTACCTGCAATTCACCAATTCCTGCCTCTGAAGAGACGCTACTGTGTGTGTTTAATCCTCTGCCCAATCGGCCTGCGGTCACCGTATTGGTTTGGTTAGAAGGTCTGGGGTCTGACGCCGCGGGCGTGACGTATTATTGTTGGTCGCAGTCGTGCGATTGTCGCATGTTGAAGGTGGCGATCGGGCGACCGTAACAATATCCATCAAAGATCTCACATGGGGGGAAGCCACAGTTCTGTTCTGGGTGCGGGAAATGTTTCCCAAAGAAATCATTACTTGTTATCCATCAAAGATCTAAAACGGGGAGGGGGGGGGGGGGGATGCTGTAGTGCTGTCCTTGGTGCGGGAAATGTTTTTCATGGAAATCAAACTCACACTGGCGGAAAGCCATATTCCTGTGTTGAGTGTGGGAAATGTTTCATCAAGAAATCAGACCTTGTTGTACATCAAAGATCTCACACGGGGGAAACCATATTTCTTTCCTGCGGGAAATGTTTTTCATGGAAATCAGACCTTCTCATACATATAAGATCTCACATGGGGGAAAGCCGTATTCCTGACCTGAGTGCGGGAAATGTTTCCCAAAGAAATGAGAACTTGTTATCCATCCAAAGATTTCACACGGGGGGAAAGCAGTATTCCTGACTAGAGTGCAGGAAATGTTTTCATGGAAATCAGAACTTGTTATCCATCAAACATCTCACACGGGCGGCAAGCCGTATTCCTGTGTTGAGTGCGGGAAATGTTTCCAAAAGAAAAAGGAACTTATTATCCATCAAACATCTCACACGGGCGGCAAGCCGTATTCCTGTGTTGAGTGCGGGAAATGTTTCCAAAAGAAAAAGGAAATTGTTATCCATCAAAGATCTCACACGGGGGAAAAACTGTATTCCTGCCCCAAGTGTGGGAAATGTTTTTCATGGAAATCAAATTTCGTTGTACATCAAAGATCTCACAAAGTCTCACAGGGGATAAGCTGTATTCCTGTCCTGAATGCGGGAAATTTTTCCCAAAGAAATCATAACTTGTTATACAGTTGTGACCAAAATTATTCAACCCCCAATGCTGTAAAGGGGTTTAGGGACTATAGTGTACATTTGGAATTGTATTCAGAATCAAATCCTACAAGGACGTTGTAACTACCCAAATGCAACTAAAATGACATCAATTGTTTATGTAATACAGTAGTAAATGGTTCTTATGTGGTTTCTTCATTGCCACAATTATTCAACCCCTTAAAGACTACCACTCTGAAGAACAGAGGTTCATACAGGTGCTTTCCATCAGGTATTGAAAACACCTGTGGATGTCACCGAGCAGCAATCAAGCATAATAAGCACCAATTAGGCAGCTTTAAAATGACTGTGATACTCAGCTCCTTCTAGACATTTACTGGTGTGGTTACAAACATGGTGAAGGCAAGAGAATGGTCCAGGAAGACAAGAGAAGAGGTGATTTCTCTTCACAGGAAGGGCAATGGCTATAAGAAGATTGCAAAGATGTTAAACATACCAAGAGACACCTTAGGAAGCATCATTCGCAAATTCAAGGCAAAGGGCACTGTTGAAACGCTACCTGGTCGTGGCAGAAAGAAGATGCTGACTTCGACTGCTGTGCGCTACCTGAAGCGTAGAGTGGAGAGAAGTCCCCGTGTGACTGCTGAGGAACTGAGAAAAGATTTGTCAGATGTGGGTACAGAAGTTTCAGCCCAGACAATAAGACGCACACTGCGTAATGAAGGCCTCCGTGCCAGAACTCCCAGGCGTACCCCCTTGCTGTCTCCAAAGAATAAGAAGAGTCGACTGCAGTATGCCAAAAGCCATGTGGACAAACCACAAAAGTTGTGGGATAGTGTTCTGTGGACTGATGAAACAAAATTAGAACTGTTTGGGCCCATGGATCAACGCTATGTTTGGAGGAGGAAAGAACAAGGCCTATGATGAAAAGAACACCTTGCCTACTGTGAAGCATGGTGGAGGGTCAATCATGCTTTGGGGCTGTTTTTGCTTCTGCAGGTACAGGGAAGCTTCAGCGTGTGCAAGGTACCATGAATTCTCTTCAGTACCAGGAGATATTGGATGGAAACGTGATGCAGTCCGTCACACACCTGAGGCTTGGGAGACGTTGGACCTTTCAACAGGACAATGATCCCAAGCATACCTCCAAGTCCACTAGAGCATGGTTGCAGAGGAAAGGCTGGAACATTTTGGAGTGGCCATCGCAAATGTCACCAGACTTAAATCCGATTGAGAACCTCTGGTGGGACTTAAAGAAAGCAGTTGCAGTGCGCAAGCCTAAGAATGTGACTGAACTGGAGGCCTTTGCCCATGAAGAATGGGCGAAGATACCCGTAGATCGCTGCAAGACACTTGTGTCAAGCTATGCTTCACGTTTAAAAGCTGTTATAAAAGTAAAAGGATGCTGTATAAGTACTAAGATTGAATGTCACTTGGGGGTTGAATAAAACTGATAATGCTGTGAGCACAGAAAAGACATTTGTGGTTATTTCATTATAACTGTTATGTTATATTTGTCTGACCTACAAGTGCCTCTTTAATGTAAATGTAAGCAAGATGACTGAATGATCAAAAGCAATGTCAAACTGGCCAAAACACTCAATTTCAGTGGGGGTTGAATAATTTTTTGGTCACAACTGTACATCAAAGATCTCAAACGAGGGGGGGTGCCATAGTCCTGTCCTTGGTGCGGGAAATGTTTTTCATAGAAATCAGACTCACACTGCGGAAAATCCATATTCCTGTGTTGTGTGTGGGAAATGCTTCTCAAAGAAATCAGAACTTGTTATCCATCAAAGATCTCACACGGGGGAAAACCGTATTCCTGCCCTGAGTGCGGGAAATGTTTCCCAAAGAAATCAGAACTTGCCGTATCCCTGACCTGAGTGTGGGAAATGTTTCCCAAAGAAATCAAAATTTGCAGTTTCCCTGTCCTGAGTGCGGGAAATGTTTCCCAAAGAAATCAGAACTTGCCGTATCCCTGTCCTGAGTGCGGGAAATGTTTCCCAAAGAAATCAGAACTTGCCGTATCCCTGTCCTGAGTGTGGGAAATTTTTCCCAAAGAAATGAGAACTTGTTATCCAAAAAAGATCTCACACGGGGGGAAGCCGTATCCCTGTCCTGAGTGCGGGAAATGTTTCCCAAAAATTTGAATTTGTTACCCAACAAACATCTCACATGGGGGGAAAAGCCATGTTCCTGTCCTGAGTGCGGGAAATGTTTCACAAAGAAATCAGAACTTGTTATCCATCAAAGATCTCACACGGGGGGAGAAAGCCGAATTGCTGTGTTGAGTGCGGGAAATGTTTCACAATGAAATCAGATCTTTTTATCCATCAAAGATCTCACACAGAGAAAAAGCCATATCCCTTTATCCATATCTCCTGTCCTGAGTGCGGGAAATGTTTTTCATTGAAATCAGACGTTGTTATCCATCAAAGATCTCACATGGGGTAAAAGCCATATCCCTTTCCTGGGTGCGGGAAATGTTTCACAAAGAAATCAGAACTTGTTATCCATCAAAGATCTCACACGGGGGGAGAGAAAGCCGCATTCCTGACGAGAGTGCGGGAAATGTTTTTCATGGAAATGACCTTGTTGTACATCAAAGATCTCAAATGGGGGGGAGGGGGGGAGAGGTCCTGTCCTTGGTGCGGGAAATATTTTTCATGGAAATCAGACTCACACTGGGGGAAATCCTGTGTTGAGTGCGGGAAATGTTTCATCAAGAAATCAGACCTTGTTGTACATCAAAGATCTCACACGGGGGGAAAGCCGGTTTCCTGACCTGAGTGTGGGAAATGTTTCATCAAGAAATTAGACCTTGTTATCCATCAAAGATCTCACACAGGGGGAAAGCCCTATCCCTGTCCTGAGTGCGGGAAATGTTTCACAAATAAATCAGAACTTGTCATCCATCAAAGATCTGACACGGGGGAAAGTGCGGGAAATGTTTATCACAGATAAATGAAGGCGATAATGAAGGCGATGACCCCAGACACGGCCACTATGGTTATGAGATATGGAGAGGATCGTTTGTCGGTTTTGGACAGTTTTTCAATGTCTCATGGTGTCAGAGGTCACGTCGGGTGGCTCCCTGCGATGTTTTCTGATTGGTGGATTTCACTTTGAATGCCTTTGCACTGTATTGTGCATCTCATCACACGCCTGAGAAAGGAGCCCTACCTGGACCCAGAATATTGTCCCTGCTGGGATGTCATCACCTGAGTACATGTCTGTACAAAATAGATCTTTGGTGTGATATTAATATATACACTTCTCCACTGACACCAATGTAAGGACACACTACTCCACTGACACCAATGTAAGGACATACTTCTCCACTGACACCAATGTAAGGACATACTTCTCCACTGACACCAATGTAAGGACACACTACTCCACTGACACCAATGTAAGGACACACTACTCCACTGACACCAATGTAAGGACATACATACTTCTCCACTCCACTGACACCAATGTAAGGGACATACTTCTCCACTGACACCAATGTAGTGACATACTACTCCACTGACACCAATGTAAGGACATACTTCTCCACTGACACCAATGTAAGGACATACTACTCCACTGACACCAATGTAAGGACATACTTCTCCACTGACACCAATGTAAGGACATACTTCTCCACTGACACCAATGTAAGGACATACTTCTCCACTGACACCAATGTAAGGGACATCTCCACTGACACCAATGTAAAGGAAAAACCACTGAAAATTTTGAAAAAAAAATTTTTTTCTTAGTTTTTGTTATAAAAATTGTGTAAATTATTTTTTTCCTTCACTGATGTGCGCTAATGAGGCTGCAGTGATGGACACTGACAGGTGGCATTGATCAAGCACTGATATGTGGCACTGATGGGCACTGACAGGTGGCATTGATCAAGCACTGATATGTGGCACTGATGGGCACTGATATGTGGCACTGATGGGCACTGACAGGTGGCACTGCTGGGGCTACACTGATCATCAGGGCGCACTGTACATGTCCCCTCTGTGGAATGCTGATTACCGGCTCTCCGCTCCTCTCCTCTGTCAGCGTGACGGCTCGTGAGGACAGAAATGCTGATAACCGGCATTTCCCTGTTGATTGAACACAGCTGATCACATGACCGAGCCGACATCTTTGGCTCTCTCCGTTGATTGGTGATCCGCTGTGTCCGAGGCACATAGGTCACCACCGATCGCCGTGCTGCGCACTCCCGGAGCCGCACATGCGCGGTGAGAATGGGAGGATGTCATATGACTCCTCCCAGAATGAGAGAACCGCCTTGCCTCATCTCCTTATATGGCGGGTGGGAGGCGGTTAAACTGTTAAGAAAACATAGAAATAGAAAGCAGAAAGGAAATAAAATGCAATTGTTCCCATAAATGAGACTTGTAAAGGATTTGTGGCGAGTTCCTCCTTCTGACTACTATGATGGTAGTCCATGGGGGGAGGATTTAGCAGGCTGGTCAGAAGGATTGGGAGGAGCCAGTTTTCCCCGGGAAGGAGGGAATGATACAATGTGTATGGATATGATAAAGGGTATGTGCAGGGGAGGACTGACCATATGGAAACTCAGCACTGCCCGAGGGCCCGGGGCCAGTAGAGGGCCCCATGAGATGCCCCTGACACCTTTTTCATAGGCTTTTTTGAGTTTGGACAAGGACACAGGGGCCCCATGATCCCCTATTGCCCGGGGCCCCATGAGTTGTCAGTCCGCCCCTGGGTATGTGCCTGCATGAACAGCCAGAGGTAGAGATGTGGGGGAAGGGAGCCCCAGCATGGGACACGGATTATATGTTTGAGGGAGGTAAGAATTGGTTGACATCTGCACCAGGATATAGAACCTTCACCCCCCTGGCGGTGTTCCCGAGTGTAGCTCGGGGTTAATTATCGGGAATACTCTGGGATCCCTCGATCACTTACCTTGTCCTGTGCTCCCGCGATGTTCCTACTGCAGTGTCCCCGGCCATCTCCTCCGGCCGATGCCGTCATCCGTCTTCTGGGTTCCTCCCCCTGTGAGCGTCGGGACGTACGGGGGATGGAACCGGCGGGAAATTTGAAATGTTTAAAAACTGACATTCACTAAATCCAGTAAAATCACAGAGTATAACATTCCTGTATCCAACCATTTCACACCCTGTCATGCCTTCAGCATATCTTTATGTCTTCACTGAAACCCGCCTCACCACCTGCCCCTGGACCCTATCCCCTCACAGCTCCTCCAGTCACCCCCCCCTCCTCCATCATTCGCTCCCTCACCCACATCTTCAATCTCTCCCTCTCCACCGGCACCTTCCCCTCCCCCTCAAGCATGCGCACATCACCCCCATACTCAAAAAACCCTCCCTTGACCCCACTGACCTTAACAACCTTAGACCCATCTCCCTGCTGCCATTCACTTCCAAGCTCCTTGAGCGCCTGGCCTACAATCGCCTAAGCGCCCACCTCACTGATAACAACCTCCTCGACCCCCTACAGTCCGGCTTCCGTCCCCTACACTCCACCGAAACCGCCCTACTTACCAACGACCTGCTAACCGCCAAAGCCAATGGCCACTATTCTGTCCTCCTGCTCCTCGACCTCTCCGCAGCCTTCGACACTGTCGACCACCCCCTCCTCCTTGCCAAACTGCACTCCCTTGGCATCAGGGACTCCGCTCTCTCCTGGTTCTCCTCCTACCTATCCCGACACTCCTTCAGCGTCACCTACAACACTGCCACCTCCCCCTCTCTGTCGGGGTCCCCCAAGGCTCTGTCCTCGGGCCCTTCCTCTTCTCCATCTACACCTCCTCCTTTGGCAAACTTATTCACTCCCATGGCTTCAATTACCACCTCTACGCCGATGACACCCAAATTTACCTCTCCACCCCCCACCTCACCCCCTCACTCTCCGCCCGCATCGCCCACCTCCTAAACGACATATCAGACTGGATGTCGCTCCATTTCCTCAAACTTTACCTCTCCAAAACCGAGCTCCTGGTCTTCCCCCCCCCCCGTAACCCCCCCATCCTCTCCATCACTACTAACAACGCCACCATCTCTCCCACCCCACACGCCAAAGTCCTGGGTGTCACCCTGGACTCCCACCTCTCCTTCCTACCCCACGTCCAATTACTATCAAGATCATGCAGGCTCCACCTCCGCAACATCTCCAAGATACGCACATTCCTCACCCCAGACACCACCAAACAACTCGTACACTCCCTCATCATCTCACGCCTGGACTACTGCAACTCCCTCCTCACCGGCCTCCCTCATCATCTCACGCCTGGACTACTGCAACTCCCTCCTCACCGGCCTCCCTCATCATCTCACGCCTGGACTACTGCAACTCCCTCCTCACCGGCCTACCCAAACGAGCGCTATCCCCACTCCAGTCTATCCTAAACTCAGCGGCCAGACTCATCCACCTCACCAACCGCTCCACATCTGCCCCCCCCCTCTGCCAATCCCTTCATTGGCTCCCGATTGCCCAACGCATCAAATTCAAACTGCTAACCCTGACCTACAAAGCCATTTCACAATGCCACCCCGAACTACAGAACTCTGACCTGATACCCAAATACTACCCTACCCGTGCCCTACGCTCCTCACAGGACCTCCTACTCTCTAGCTCCCTGGTCTCCTCCTCCCACACCCGATTGCAGGACTTCTCCAGGACTTCCCCCGTATCCTCTGGAACTCCCTACCCCAGGGGTAGGCAACCTACGGCTCTCCAGCTGTTGAAGGACTACAAGTTCCCATCATGCCTCTGCAAGTCATAGCTATAACTGTCAGTTTTGTAATGTTACAATGCCTCATGGGAAAATGTAGTTCCACAACAGCTAGAGAGCCGCAGGTTGCCTACCCCTGGCCTACCCCAATCCATCAGACTGTCACCTACCCTCCTCACCTTCAGGCGCACCCTGAAAACCCTCCTCTTCAGGGAAGCCTACCCCGTCCTCACCTAACACCCGACCTCACCTAACAACTAACCTCCTCCACTCCTCCCACCACACTCCATCCCCCACAGCCACTTCCTCCTGTACAACCTTCCCCTCCCCCCTAGATTGTAAGCTCCAAAGAGCAGGGCCCTCGAACCCCTCGTGTATTGTATTGTTACTGTCTTGTCTCATGTTCCGTCCCCCTTGCTATTGTACAGCGCTGAGCAAACCCTTTGCCGCGCTATATAAATACTGTATAATAATAATAATGTCCATTGTTAGCTTCTTATGATATGGAATGTGAGGGAAAGTGTCACATCGCCCTCTAGTGTCTCTTTTGTATTACAGTTTATAGATCAGTTTCTGTAGTTACATCGCCATCTAGTGTCTCTTTTGTATTACAGTTTTATAGATCAGTTTCTGTAGTTACATCGCCATCTAGTGTCTTTTGTATTACAGTTTTATAGATCAGTTTCTGTAGTTACATCGCCATCTAGTGTCTCTTTTGTATTACAGTTTATAGATCAGTTTCTGTAGTTACATCGCCATCTAGTGGCTCTTTTGTATTATAGTTTTCAGTTTCGGTAGTTACATATTTTGTAGCTTAAAGGCCACCGTAGTTTTCCATCATCCTCTGGGCTTCACCATGAGGTCTTAGAGACATTTCCTGGCAGCCATTTTACACCTCTTCCACAGGACTACACACGTGTCCAGCTGCAGTCTATTGTCAGCCTATCGGAAATATCGGCGGTATGTTTAAAAACCCCTTTGTAGCTAGACTAGTGTGTCAGGACTGTATACTTTGTAGATTGTATATACTGATTGAATGTTATTTCTTTTGTTTGTAGTTTTGTTAAGGGAGGAGAGGTTATCTGTCTGTCTAATTATAGCTGCGTCCAAAAAGCTGTCTAATTATATGGCGTCCAAAAAGCGTCCCTTTAGGTCAGACGCGGTTTTAGACCGGCTAGAGAACAGCGATAGTAAATCAGAACCACTTGCAGAATTGAGTGATAATGATTGGTGGGGGAAATTCCTCATCAGACACTGAAAACGATTCTGCGACTGAGCTCAGCGATGTGCGAACTTGGCGCTCTATTTCACATTTCAGTGTTTTTGGTTTGATTATATTATTGAATTACATTTATTATTATTATTTTTTATGATTATTAAATTATAATTTATGATTTCGTGTTTCTAGTTTTATCATCCCCGGGATGTTTACTAGACTCTTGTTCGGACAGATTTCAGTGAGTTATTCCTAAGAATTACAGGCCGACAATAAAAAAACAACATATTTCCATGCAAAAAAATGTACCGCTTTGAGCACAGAAATCCTGACGTCATCAGACCGCTGGGGAGGAACCTTCTTATAAGCTCTGTGGCAGTTTCAGTAATATTTTGTCTACATGCTACAATTGGAGCAAATGATTGTAAAGCCTTACCGACTCACATTTACCTTCCTCCCACGCTGCGTCCCATTGTTCCCTAGGTCAGGGGGATATTTATCCATCCCCCGCTTTGGGGACCACGCCTTATGTCCCAACTCAATATTATCCTCGTTGTTAAATATTGGACAATTATCCCATTCAAATTCATCCGTAATATCTCCCAATATCTTTTCTACAATTAACTTGCAATCCTCCATCTTTTAATTTCTTCCTACACGTCCTTTTTAACCAGGATACTGCTCCCCCCAAGGGGGGACTGACAACTCATGGGGACCCCGGGGAATAGGGGATCATGGGGCCCCCGTGTCCTTGCCCAAACTCAAAAAGCCTATGAAAAAAGGGCATCTCATGGGGCCCCCTAATGGCCCCGCCCTGAAACTGCCACAGAGCTTATAAGAAGATTTATCCTCCCCAGCGGTCTGATGATGTCAGGATTTCTGTGCTCAAAGCGGTACATTTTTTTTGCATGGAAATATGTATTTTTTTTATTGTAGGCCTGTAATTCTTAGGAATAACTCACTGAAATCTGTCCGAACAAGAGTCTAGTAAACATCCCGGGGATGATAAAACTAGAAACACGAAATCATAAACTATAATTTAATAAATAATCATAAAAAATAATAATATAATAAATT